TTGCACGGTAATTGCATCTGGTTGCACAACGTGCCGCTATGCCATCGCAATTCGTCGCTTGAAAAACACTGCGTAAAATCGAAAACATCGTTTTCGTTCGAACTCGATAACATTGGTAGAAAGATTGTGATATTTCCGAACGATTCGCGTCATTGCATTCTGACAACTAGCTTCAAAACAACCGTAAAATATTGCACACCGAACATTATATTTATAACTTCAATTCTCGTGGCTTTCAAAATAATTTGTAAATTCTTTTGAAAAAAAGAAATATTTTCTTCCATGATTTTTTATACGTGTGCAATTGGAGGAAAATAGCAGATTTCAAAAGATTATATTTTTAGCAAGGTATTGATGGTCAAGGAGATAGAAATGATTTTTAAAGTTTAAAAATATTTTGACATTTTTTCCTTCCAAATATTTTGACTAGAATGAATTATGAACTTGGACAGACACTTTGTTTTAAAATTTCATCGGTCAATATCACAATTTGGTAATCACTATTTCTTCTAGTATTTCCACTGATCATTTCTAGAGCACAGCAATAATTATAATTTAAAAATAGATTCTTCGTAACTGTTTCAAGAATCAAAATCAATATCCTAACTGTTTTCAACCCCTACTGTAAAATCATCTACCCGAAAGACTATGCAACCCTACGATACGAGTCTAGGTGCGGTAATTCAAGCTGCGGTAGCAGTTTTTATTTCACGATTCGTGGCATAGTGATCGATGCTCGATGCTAATGAGCAGCTTCGAGTGACACTCTGCCTGTATGTTTATTAATCACAGACTCGGTTTCCCATCGGGGAACCGGCCGGACCAGTTCGCAACCCCTTTTAGGTATCGTTTCCTAACCGTGATGCCGATCGATCTGCATCCCCTTTTTTTCCCAAGACACATGCTTTGCAACAGGATAGCAATGCTTTTGCGTATCAGAAAGTAAATTAAGCGACGTCTTAGGAAACGTATTAATTAATCCTTTGAAACGTCTATCTCGAATTGCTTCTTGCAAATGGCAATTAGGCGAGATTACGGTGTTGCATAATGCACAACTGTGAAGTGGCGCTGCAACAACGGCAAATTTCAATTTTGTTGCCATTTTTTGGTAGAGAATATCAATTAATAATATTAATTTCCAGTAACTGTTTCAAGAAACTAAAAATGGTCGAAATTGTGTAATACAAAAATATTTTTACATGTTGTTTGAGGAAGGAATCACATTGCGTGCTCCGTGTCGAAACACTGATACACGCACTTGTTTTTTAGGCAACAAAATTCGCTCAGAATTTCGACAACTGCGTTACGTTGCAATGCCAAATCGTATTGATGTTCGAGATTCGAGCTTCGATCAGGAAGTCGATGGTTATAAAGTGTGTAAACAATGCGTCCAAGGTCCGTAGCATGAAATACGAACATCTTGGTGTGAAATTGCAGTCCATATACCGCAATTGATCGCAATAAACTTAAAATAGAAGAAAATTTTCAATTATCATAAACAATAACAGAGTTAATAAAAATTTCCTTGAAATTTTATAATTATCATACTACTGATGTTACATCATCAAAACATACAAAACGAGGACGTTATGCACAAGAAAATTAAAATTAAAAATTAAAAAAGCAAAACCCTTTTTTATTAAAAAAAATGTTTATCACAGGAGTTACATAAAAAAAAATAAAAGAGAGAAAGAAGTATAAGATTTTATGAAACACAAAATTTCACAGTTTCAGAAATTGAAAAGATGTAAATAGTTTTCTGATAATGCAAAATTTTATCAGTGGAAGTTTTTCTTGTCTCGGTATTTTATGCGCAGAAAGAATCTCGTCTTCAAGAACGGTAGACGTATCGAGTATCGCGTGGCGGTTTGAAATTGATAAATTTTCTTGGTGTGCACTGTTTTATGGCGCACCGTTGGAGTAAAGGGTTAACAGAGTTCTCAGGATGCTCCATAACGATCTTTCCTCTGTTGTTAAGCCGAAGCTGACCCTGAATCGTCCTGTGAACTCGAGCCACTGCCAGAAAACTCTCGGGAATATGAAGAAAGTGGGAAACAAGGAGGCACGATACACCTGACGAAACGGTGGTCCCTGCTTGACCCATTGTTTGTTGTCGAGACACGAGGGCTCGTGGCGCGTTTACTTTCGATCGTATTATGAGTGGCAATGTAGGCTAGGAACGTCCACTGTATCGTATTTCGTCGTACGAGGCGACACTCAACACCCGGTCCGAGTCATACAGAGAACAGACGATTAACGTGATAGCGTTCCGCGTTTCTTGGAATTCAAGGTAATCGTCGCGTAATATAGAACGGTGAAATGAGCATGTCGAACCGACCACTCGTGGACGCTGCGAAAATGATGGGAATACCGTTTTGGGATTGCGTACGATCGGTGATCACGAAAAGTTTTCTTTTTTTAATCATAACTGTAATTTGTTTCTTTTAACTCGTTATTTAATATTGATTTTAAATTATGTCACAACACGTGTTCCGAGAACAGCAATTCTTGTTAATCGATCGTTTCTCGGTAATACCGTTTCGCAATATGTACATCAAGGAAACAAGGTTCCACAATTAGTATGTTTCTCAGATTCAACGAAAATATTGAAAATTCATTAGCAAAACATGTGTACTCTTGTTTGCGATACGAAATGTCCACGGAAGTGCATTTAGGGTAAAGGAGAAAAGTAGGTAGGAAATGGATTAAAGGGAAGTTTTTAAGTTATGTTTGCCACTTGATGCCATTTGAATGCAATTCTTAGGATCTCACGAAATAAGATCCAAGTTCTTTGCGCCGGGCACAGCCATCTGCTGTGCATTACTTTCCTCTGAAAGTACACAAAGAAACGCTTCCTCGGGTAATGCAAAGCCTTAAATGCTTGTAACGGTACGATTTCCTTCAAGCGTTTACACTTGTCTTCTTATTAAAATGGGAAAAAAGAGAACCGAATATGTAAATCAATACGTACCGATAAACATAGATAGTTGATCATCGCAATTTTTTATTTTCGACTTCTGCTTTATTACATTCCATTTTTGAAGAAGAAAAATTATTGCAAAAACTATCGTAAATAATGATGGAAAATAATAGTTCGAAACACGAGTCTAAACTGTTATGAAAGACAGATTCTAGCGGACAAAACTTATGCAGCAACCTAATATCATGAATACCTATCCAGAAGAAAAAAGAGTAACATTCTTCGTTGACATGTTCGCGGTACAAATTATGAAAGCGCCTATACAGGCATTTGAGACGGTGAAGCAAGCAAAGATAAGGGTGGAAAAACGTCAGGTCGTGTGATCGTCCAGAAAGCAGTCAGGGTGGGGGATCACGAGGGGGGTTAGAACCTGCGCCTAAGTTTACCCTTTTCCAGCGCATGCTCCTGCACCACTTTTCCCACCCTGTCGCCGAGGTTTGACTCCCGATATGATCGGAAAAAGGAGCCAGAAGCTAAACTACCACCCTCCCACTACCCACCTTCCTCCTACCGTCCTCCCGTGAACTCGTTTCCAGTCCCTAGTATTTTCTACTCGCTAAACTACGATCATTTAGATTCATTGAAACACTCAACTATCGAAACGTACATACGTCTACCGAAGTGTAATTGCACCGACACCCGGGAAATTGATTCGAATTGATAGAAATCTTCTTAATGTATCTCAAAAACAAAATATCATTTATGCAAATCACAATTATTTTTTGGTAATATATATGGTAGAAGTTAATTTTGATTCCAATGAAAAGACTTCTCATTATATTTGTAGTCAAATAAATGAATGCAGGAACAATCTGGTGTATGCAATTTGCAAATGTTATTATGTAATGTTATAACAGTTAACTTTATTATTATTGTTATTGCTATTTCTGTAATTACAAAATTAATACCATGAAATCAGAATTTGTTTCATGGCTATAATTTACAAATATGTGTAATACCATGTTTGATATCGCACTGCTTTTGTATTTAAAATTGATAATGGAGTTAGGATAAATTTAAAACAATTTAATTTGTGAGCATCAAACTTATCGTTGCTTTTATCCATTCATACTATTGTTACAAGCCATTTAAAACTCTTTAAATAAAAGAGATTGATATCGAAGAAACACTGGATTGATTTTGCCTCTACGACATTTTGTATTTTAAAAGTTCACATACCAAACAAGCATCAGAAATAAGAAAAGGAAAAGGTATTACCAGCAGCAGCATTAAGCAAACAAAAACAACAGACAAACATAAATAAGTCGAAGCCGAAAAGGGCGTCCCAATCGGAGCAGACGGGAGGCCGGACGCAACCCTTCTTTCCAATCAGGCCGTTGAAGTCACCGATACTTCCGATACCTGATACAGCGCATCGTGTCCTCGTGGCCGAAGCTGGAAGGGGGATGTCGATGGATGGTGGGGGTAGTCACCCTCGCGTTCACGGAGCTAGTTTACAGTTGAAACCGTGGCGTGGCGCCACCGTCCGGCGTACACGGCTCACGTCCCTTGGCGCCTCGTCGTTGAACTTTTGTCCGCACTCGTCAGTCTCGGAGCGGTGCGAGACGCTTGCTTTCGCGCCTTCCAAAGCCTCGTCTCGACATAAAACCCTCTCAATAAACACTGATTTCATCCATGTGTCGAGCAGTTGAGGAAAACGTTGTCGAAGAAGAGATTTGGAGGGTGGTGAACGGAAGTCGGGAGGACAATACTTGTGCTGAGGTGGAAAAGTGCGTGGCTGGAGGGATGACTGCGAGGGCTGCAGGAGCCGAGCGTTCGAGTTAGTCTCGGCCAGAACACAGGCCCAGTAGGATCTACGTGTACGCACTGGAGACGCGTACGGTGCGTGGAGTAAGGAGAGCCAAGGGGGAGACTACCTCATCCCTTAGCTGATCGCGGGCGCGAGTTTCGCACGGGACGATCAGTGTTACCGGGAGGGGCTGACAGTGTGCAGGTGATTGTTTGTGCTTTTTTTGTGACGTTTCTTCTTGTGACTGTGTTCCCCCCCCCCCACGCATTCCACACTTTCGGAAATAGTCCCGACGGTTGTGATAGGGAGGACCCCCTCCGTTGGACAGCATCCTCCTTTCGTTGTTCACGCGCACGCACGTGCAGCCGTGCCCTCGGATTATCTGAAAACCGAAACGCGACCGACTCGAACGTGACCATCGCACGGATTCCTGATCGTCGCGCGGTCGACTCTATCTCGGACCCGGTCAACCAACTCCGGCCCGCTGCACAGAGAAATAACGAACGACGGAGAACTCGAGAACCCGACTGATAGCGCCTAGCTGACTGCTAGAATCTAGCTACAGCCCGAGCTGATTAAGTCCTAAGAAACTGCGAACCATCGCCCGAAAATAGCACGCTCCATGGATCTCCTGTTGTTTTCAACTGTTAGGACAAATTCCTCCTTTTGACACTTTGGCCTTGTTTCGAAACACACCGCCGAAACACTAACATTTTGGCGGACCCGACTTTCGTGAACTTTACGACATTGTTTTACCGATTAGTGAAATTTGAAACTTTTTAAATGTTGGTGTGAGTAATTTTAAAATAACTAATTTTCTAAATCAGGACACCAGTCGTCAAAGTCTCAGGGTGGTTTTTCCAATTGAATACTTTTTCTAAAAAATTTTCCAAATTCTTCAAAGTGACTACTGTGGGTCTGTGCAAAAATTACCATTTATTTCTCAAATATTACCAAAGATCTTCATCAGTTCAAAATCGAAACTCTGATTTTCAAATCATTTCATCGACGGAAATCGTAGCCCATAAAACCCCTGTTTCTCGTGCAGCAACCCCAAGACTGATTATCTTATCCAGCAAGAAAAAGATCGGGTCTCTGACGATGTCCCTGAGTCCGGCTCTTGAACTTAGGAGTGCTGCGCATCCTTAGCCGGAAGATATTGTTACAATCGCCCTCGAACAGCGTCGCGTTGCTTCCCTAAGGGGGTCGCGAGGGGTCTGTCCGTTTATCGTCGTCCAGTATATTGAGTAGCGTGCGACCGCACGAAGAAAGTGAGTCCCGTTGCTGCTACCAGCGAAATTCCACTACCAGGATCGTCACCACGTCCTTCTGACGGCTGTTTGATTTTACCCGTTCGTTCGGGTCGTCCCTGTCCCGTTTCAGGAACTTCCGCCCACATACCAAAGTGAACGTCCATGGATGTGCAGTGTCAATGGACTGTCAAAATAAAGTGAATCTTTGTGCACATTTTGTGAAAGTTTACCTCTTTAGAAAAAAGAAAAAAAGGTAATGGTAATTTCAGATAGTTTATCTAATTATGTTAGTGTCGAGGATACTTAGACATGTTTGTTTCCGAGGAAAATTGTGTAGTTTCTTTGGTGAGGAATTCTGGTGGTTACAATTCTGACACGTCTCGGTTCATTGGCGTTAGGATCATTACGAAATTCCCCGGGAACAATGCGTGGCACCAAAGACGACGCTGCGATGGTGATATGCACGCGCGTGTACGCGCACGCCGGCTTCCCCGTTGACAAACTAATCCCCGCGTTATATCGGGTGATCGTAAAGCACCCGCTGACATGCTAACAGCCGCGCGTTGTATTTTCGTGGGCGGCTACGGACGAATTTTCGCGAATGCCGGCGTCGAGTGTTTCCTATTTAGAGAAAATTGAATCTTCTCTTCGACACCTTCGTCGTCTTTCGTGCCGAGCCTCTACCGGTGATGTTTGTCAGTGAGATTCTTCGAAAGTGACATTATTCTGGAAACAAATTTTCTTAAATTTCTGACAGTCTATGATTTTTGTTCAAATATGTTGCTTGCTAAACGATGATATTTGAAAATAGACTGACGTTTAATCGATATGATTCTTCTGAAAATATTTCTCATTAATTGACACGATTTTAGTCATATGGATTTTTTAATCTTTTTTTCATTTTTTAAATGTTAGTTTAAAATGTCACCAACATTTTTCTCTAAAGTATTGAATGGTGATTGAATTTTCTGCAAACATGAATTTTTACTGAAATTGGACTGAACGTAATAAGAATCTTTTATCTTTTATTAATCAAATCCAAATTCAATCGTTCTTCAACTTTCGTTTCTATTTCCTTTATTCCTTTGATGACTTGTTCGATAAAAAAAATCAACTTTTAAATACAGACAGTTGAGTTCTTTTTAAATTAAACGTCTTAAGGTTCTTTACATTTCTTTCGGACTTAAAACATACAATTAAAGAAAATGTCTTTATATTCTTGGCTACTTACGTTTTTCCAATTCATTGAAAATAAAAATCAGTGCTGGATATGTCACTGCTGGTCACAACGTTTATTCGAGAACATAGTTTCAATTAAACGTGAAGAATTACTGTTTGGTCACACTTCGAAACAAAATGGCGAAAGAGCGTACTAGATGTAGTATGATCATGATTTTCTGTAATTAAGCATTATGATAGTTTTCTCTTTGGTTTATGACATTTATCATATACTTTAGATTCCAAAATATTTTAAAGGTTTCTTCAAACTTTACCCTGCTTTTTCCAATTCATTGAAAATGAAATAATTTCTTAACCTCTTCATTTTCTCAACAATTTAATTATTTTTAAATTCAACGAAATGTCAGATACCAAACTCAATATCTTCTCGATTTCTTCACTTCTTAAGTAACTCATCCATTAAACGTCAAACTTCAAAATGTCTTACGAATCGTTATCTACTATTAAGTTTTTTCATCTTTCTCGAACTTCTTCGAATCAATCTTTTTCATTTTCTTCGTTTCTTCGGAAACTCAAAGTGTCAAAACTCAGTATCAAAAGGATCTCTGCAATTCCTCCTTTTCTTTGATAACTACTCGCTCTACATAAAACGAAACTTTCAAGCGAGATACTAACACAAGTTCCTTTAATGAATTTTAACTTTCAAACACACCACGAACCCTTAAAATATCGATCATTTTCGAAAATGGTTGATCGGTCGGAAAGGCATAGCAACAAGTATGCAGCGTAGCTGGCGTGAATCGAGTTACAGTTGTTTTCGTTTCCGCGTCAACAGCGACTATCATCCACCGGCGATGATTAACTCGTGCAACCGGCGAACGCCGCGGAAATTAAAGTTGCATTATCCAGCACCCGGCGTCGGTTAACTCGGCTGTCACGAAGTGTGCTTAACACGGTAACGCGGATTAACGCGTTCATCGGAAGCGGTTTACGAGAATCAAGGGGCGTCGCTTCGACGACGCCTTTGATCCTTCTGATTCGCACGACTTTGTCCGCACAATGTCCGATGGAACTTGGATTCTTTAAAAGAATTTCATCCCCTACACCTTAACATAAAATAAGATACGATTCTTTTTTAAATTTCAAGAAAAACCAGTTTCTGTCTTGTTCCTTACGATGCTCTTACGTAGACTTTAACGTGCCATAAAGTATAAATGTCCCATTTTTGATTGAACTTTACAATTCCTAGTTTTCGAAAATTTTTAGAGTGAAAATACGACCCTCGGTTCAGAATCTTGTTCAATTCGAAAGTTAAAGAGTCGGCCGTGCGAAAAGGCGGGCTGTCGTTTGTGCGCGTGCATTTTCCTGCAATTTCCGTATTTACGATGCATAAACAATGGAAATTGATGCATAATTCAGTTACGGCTTCTTATTTTCGATCAAAGTTGCTTTCGACTGGAGAAACCGGAGGGGAACACGGTTTAGTACAACCGACCCTTTCGTTGCGATTAAATTCTTTAAAGAAAACTTTCCACGGAGAAATCAATTCGTAATAATAATATAAAATTGAAAAAAAATTTAGAGTTGCATACATATCGGATTTAAAGTAATGCATGAAGGAAATAAGGAGCAGCGATTTGGGTAGCGAAAGGGTCGAGAAAAAGTAAAATGGAAGGCAGAGCGTCGGTGTGGAGCTGCGGTTCCGAAAAAGCCCGGTGCCGTGTTGTCAGTAACCCCTTCGAAACTCAATCGCACCTCGTTCTCCTTCGAAATGTCTGAAAATCGTAACGGCGCTTGCAACAAAGGCTGCTCGCAGTCACCAACGAGCAATCGAAGGGTTACTGTCTGCGTGGCGGGTGGTGGTGGGGGTGAAAATAAGAAATATAGATACAAAGAGGAGGGAGATACCGGGAGAAAAAGAAGAAGGGAACCGACGATCGGCAGGGGTTGGAGAAAAGGGCGGTCGGGGAGCTGAAAATATGAGATCCGTTCTGGTAGGGACCACCTAGCCAGCCTCCGGTCCTTTCCGCGGCGTCTCCCTTCTCCGCGCAGATTCTCCCCTCTACAGCGACGCTCTCCTCTGAATCCAACAGCCGCGACGGGTAGTGGGGGGAGGCTGGGGCAAGGGATTGGCCGACCGGTGGGCCGGCCGGCTCCCACCACGCCGATCAGGCTCCGCCCGCTCCCCACCAGTGGCTCTGCACCTCCTCCAGACATCGCATCGGTCGTTCGGTAGCTCTTAGTTTCAGGTTAGGAGCCTGCTAGGACGGGTCTCGTACTCTCTTCCTGAGGTCAGCCGAGCCGAACGGAGCCGAAACGGAACGAAACGAGGCGAGGCGCGGCGAGGCGAGGCGAGGGAAAAAGCCGGAGCTAGTGAAGTGTGACCGCGTGCAGTGCGTGTATCCTCGGTATCTTTTTACCGCGTGAGTGTTGGTGTGATGCTAGAACCACGGGCAACCTGACGACCGTCCCGATAAAGAGGTTCGGACAGTCGAGTCGGTGTGCCGATCCGACAACAATCACTCGCCGATGACTTTGGTGAACTCAGGACATTGTGCGATTACGTGTGACGGTGGGACCAGTGTGTAGTGATAAACGGTCCAGTGTGTTCCGGGACAGTGTCCGGGACCAAGGAACAGGAAGAGACGGTTGCGACGGGCCCGCCGGCCGAGGCGTGTGCCCCGGGTGGCGTCGACGGCACCGGCAAACGAAGGGGAACGGTTTTGGGCCCGGCGGAGAAGCTCGAAGCCGTCAAAGTGGCTTCGTCACTGGGCCTCCAGGGGCCTTCAGCGCCAATCGGGGCCCAATTACTGGCTACTGGCGGTTCGGAGGATGCACCGTCCGTGTACCACGCGAATCTGCTAGCCAGCAGCAACGCGTCCGTGCTCCAGCAGCCCGTTCTAGCCAGCCTGAACACGCCGGCACTGGCCAGCATGCAGGCCTCTGCGGAGGCCAATTCGCTCGACATTCAGGCCATGCAGTCCATGGACTGGCTGTTCAAGAAGGAGCGTATATACCTGCTAGCCCAGTTCTGGCAACAGGTAAGTCAGATTACACGACAACCATGTGATTTTCTAAACTCCAAGTGTTCGCGGATGAGATTCTATCGTCACCCTGACACCCTCGTCGTCGCGTCGTATCACCGCGTGGGAAAGACCGCGGACACTTGTAGCTTCCGGAAGCTAGTGGAGCGTGGAGAACCATATAGATATGTGCACACTGTGACTCGGAAAACCATAAGTGGCCGTGAGGTGAAGTGTTGTGAAAATTCATAAAATATCCTCCGCACGATTATCGAATGGTGGTGATTTTCGATAGTTCACGTAACTTAACTAATCGAACCCCACGTTCCGTGAGTCTTTCGCTTACTAATTGCTGGTCAGATACTCTCGGCCACTTGGCCGAACCCCGAGTTTCAACGAGGGTGCGAGGGTGGCGAAGTTTCCCCGACACTTGCTGTTCCGTGGATAGTTCGCCGATTTAAGGGTCGGCTTGACCGACTTGCCACAACGTGGCCCATATACAGTGGTTGACAACCTGATCTTCTTACTGTGAAAATCGATCAACATCCGATCAATTAGATTAAGATTAGAACGTGTCGATATCGTGATTGAATAATAGTAATTCTTCTCTGTGAACGAATTGTGTTATGGGCTCTATCGAGTAGATAAATGTCCATTTCTATAAATAAGTGACGAATCATCGGTTCTTCTAGTTTTCGTGAGTGAACAACTTGTGTAGGCTTTAAATTTCAACTCTCCAAAGTGTGTTCGTCTTTGACAAGGAAAATTTTTCCAATCCCTTATCGTATTCGTCTGTTGCGAAGAAATGTAGTTATTTGTTTACCTACGCTTTCAGCGAGTCATAAGACACGGGTCTAAACTTGACAGCTCTGCGTCTTCTACTATTTCCTGACTAGGTATATTTCTCACACGAGACGTAGAAGCTTTTGCTTACCATCCAAAGAATTGTTTACGATTAACAAAACATGCTAAAGCAAGTTTGCGATATCATTTTTAAATAAAATTGCAAAATGCCAAAACTAGTGCTCCAAACTATCGAACCGTGCTGTAGCTAATTTTCACGTAAAATTAACATTTGTTATTTATAAGAGCATCTTACAAACATGCTGTAAGAAAAGCTGTTTTCGGGTCATAACGTGCGAACTTGTCCCCTGTCAGCATGGGATTATGAGTTGACCGGGTCGGGGACTATTAAATGGCGCATAGTTTGATAATTATGTCTATTGATTAGGGCGCGGGTTAATGACACCGGAACGTGACCCTAAGCGCCGGGAAACGGAAGATCCATCGGGGCGAATTTCCGGCCCGGATCCTCCCGTGCAGCGCAAAATTTTCATCGTCGAATTTGCGAAACGCGAAGACAATTATTGGCCGAAGCTTTTCCTCGCGTCCCCTTTACCAACTTAATTCACTCGGACACCCGTAATCGCGATAGACGCGTTTGGTGTAGAATGCTCGCTTACCGAGAGGATCGATGAAGCGTGTATAACCCGCTGACACGTTTCGATGGAAAGTGAAAACGCCGAATGCCAGGACAATAGAATTCGTGTGTGTGCCGTCGTGAAACGGTTGGGATATATTTTGATTTTCTAACGTGACGCCTTGACGCTCGCTAGCTTCATCGAAAAAGATCAAACGATACTTTACTGAACGTTCTAGTATCATTTAATCCATGATCGGGTCAGGCAAAATTTTGGGTAATTTAATAAATTAATTCTTTGGTGAATAATGTAGTGCTATTTGATTAATGGTCAAGGAAAATATTGAAAATTCTGTACTGAAATTCTTTAGTGAATATTCTAGTGTCATTTGATCGATGATCAAACAAAAGTTAAAGTAACACGACAGAGGAGCTCTTATTAATTATTTCAACGTGATTTATTCGACGGTCAGGCAAAATTTCAAATAATTTGGTAGAGTGATTCTTTGCTGCATGTTTTACTGTCACTTGATTGATTGTCAAACAAAATCTCGAGCACCACGACATAGAAATTCTTAAATAAGTATGTTAGTCTGATTCGGTAAAATTCCGGCTGTTTTAATAAGTCAATATTTTATTAAAGGTTGGACAAAATTCTTTGGTGAATGTTTTGGAGCGGGTTGATCCATAGTCAAGCAAAATTTCAAATAACTTGGTAGAGCAATACTTTGGTAAATGTTATTGTCTTTGACAAGTACACTGATGCGATATAATCCATGATCAGATAAAATTTCGAATATTTGTTGCCAAATACAAGCATTCTTGGTTAAATTACTAGCAAGGATATTTGGTCGGACAAATTACAAGTCGTTCAATGTAAGGTCCTTTAAGGAATGGGAACAGTGTTTTAAGGATTACTACGCAACAGTGCAATTGAGAAATTCTTTGTGAAATCGGGGTACAATGGACTTGATTCGAAGGACAGACAAAATTTCAATTCTTTGGAAGGTTATTCCCAGAATCTAGAAACTATTCTTGCAGAACACAATAAAATTCAAGATTGAATCTTGTAGAGTCAAACAGAACTTCAATTTCCTTCAATTGTCCTCACTTTAAAAAAAAAAAAAACACAGAGATCTTATTAAATATTTTATCCATAATTGTCCTTGAAGATCATATAGGAGCACACTCCTCAGGGTCAAGCAAAGGTAACTGCAGTTCATTAACTCCACCATACATGGTAATCCTTCCAATGCCACTGATCGGCTTACCTTTACATCTGTCAATTAAAAAATGCTCCAAACTCATCATTCGTCAAATAATTTGGTCAAGCAATTGTTCGATCGGCATAAACCTAGAAATCATATGTAATCACGGGATGGATCAACAACGAATCCGGAATCGACGGGTACGTTAAGAAATCCTTGGTTGACCGTCCGTCAGTCGGGCAAAAATATGCCCGTCTCAGTAAGATTGATTTACGGGGGATCCAAAAGCGAGGTCACGTCGGACGTTTGCCGATTTTCAAACAGAAAACCCGTCGGGAGCGAATGGTGATTCACGTTTGTATGGAGAGGCATGCATCGGAAAACTCGCTCGAACGACAAAATCATTAGCCAAAGAGGAAGAGTCCGCGCGCGTACGGTAGGGCAGAAAATTTCGAGAGGAGACAGTCGCGTCCGGTCGCGTTTCCACGGAGCGGCCGTGCGCGTGGAACGAGACCACGAAGCGTACTCCCAATTAGGAGCGTGTCGACCGTGAATGGACAAAAGTTTTGCCATGACTCCACTTCCCCTGCCGCCGCTTCGCATCGTGCTCCTTAGCCTGAACCCCTCCAGGAACCACGCGATTCGACAGGCAGTAGGGGGATCCCCGACACGGTTCCCGAGATTCCCGTGTGGCGGCGACACTTGCCGAGACGCGGATACAAAGCTGTTAGACGTGAGTCACGCGTGCTCGCAGCCGGCGAGATGAGCAACCCGCTCCTAGACGTTTGATGAACTTTCGGTGGAACAACATTGCAGTCTCTCATAGCGTATCATCGCTGTTAAATGCAAAATTATGGAATAGCATAGGATTTCGGGACTATAATGAGCGATGAACACATTGAGAAATAGAATTAAGTAGAATTAAACTTTTAGAAATAAATAACATATGATTGTAGCTTACTATTGGATGGGAGAAGTTAGGGGTTGCGATGGATAAATATTGGACTTTGACAGATTTCACTGGCAAAGAATGACTTTTGGCAAAAGAGTAGCGTTAAGTATAGTCAGTTCGATATGATTTACTAAATGAAGGAAGATCATAGTGCATGAATGCCACAGGTATATAGAAAACCTGTAAAGCCATACACCCCATAGAGTATTAAGCATGTTGAGACTTTGACAGTTTCCACTGACAAAGAATTATTTACAATAATATTTAGTTCTTCAAAAATAAGGTTCTCAGTGCATGCTCTATGTAGAAACTTAGGATCCCTATGAAACCATAAGTGCCATAGGACCATTGGAGTTAGAGTAGATAAGCACATTGAAATTTTGGCAAGATCTACTGATTTTTTATGACCAAGTATCGTTAGATAGTGTACACTAATTCCAAAAGTGAAATTCATCGAAGAAAGGTTTAAGGGAGCAAAGTCGGTGGGAAATGATTAGGTGCAGGAAAACGGGCCAATAGGGGGGAATCATTGCCGTATTCTACTGACACGAGAAACTGTATCGCGCGGCGTGTCGGCCTCGAAATAGAATATAGAGGGTTATTTCGGATGCGTCGTCTCGTTGGTCTAGTCCAGGGCTGGTCTAGACCTCCGAGGTTCAGCCGTTTTACGAGCTGCCGGCAGGCAACTAGAGTCGAGCGCAGGTGCAGCAAAGCCGCGTGTATGTTTGCCTTATTAAAATGACGCGACCAGTGTCGAACATCGCGAGAATCTGTTCGGTTCGAAGGAACAGGGGATGGAACTATGGTGGTCTTTAGGGTTCACGTAATACAGATGTTTTCGTCGTCCACCCCTTTGAGGATTACAGTTGACGCAATAAAACCTTTAGGTTCAGGTAAAGTTAGGCATAAAATATTAGCTGTAATTCTGAAATCAAGGGTCCACGAGCGCATACGTTAAAAATTTAGAGCAGTTGATCATTCTTCAAGGTTCATTGACCCATCCTTGGAGGAAAAAATAAGGCGAGAAGGAAAACCGATTGTCCAGCGTGTTGTCGCGATACAACGAGAGGTTATTAATTTCCTTGGTCGTTATTTCTGAAATCGGCGGTTTAACTGTCGGAGCCGGTGAGCTCTCCCGCCAAACAGTGATTCACCCACACTCTAAAAATATCGGGATACACGCATCGCGAAATGCGAGTCTCGTGCACGGTCCTTAATGAGCGTTTCCGAGAATTCTGCAGCCGTTCGCTCGGTGGAAAAAAGAAAATTTCTTCGTGAGCCAGGGAAATCTTGGGCGTGTGTTTTCACCGTGCGAATGACGGCTAATGGCATCGAACGCAGACATCAACAAACGTTTCCCTCCATCTTTCATCGCTTCGCTTAATGATTCTGATCATTGTGATGATTATTATGTAGGCTTATGTTATACCTTTTTCTC